GTCTGCTCCTACTCCGCAGCCGCCTCCACAGAAGCAGCATCTGACGTGTCCTGCTGCTCCGATACCTTGGCCTTCAGTTCCAATCTCGGTGTAGGTTTTCTGTTCAACCTTGGGTCTTCAATTTTGTTGTTAGTTTTAATTTTGTTGGGCTTTTTTGTTACTTTTTGTTGATTTTGTGATTTGGTGCTCGATTGCTGTTACTTTTGGAGATTAGTAGTTAACCTTGGTTATTTTGAATTTACTGTGAATTTTATATGAATTTTTGATGAGGAAGTACGGGGTTCTTTTTTTTTTTGTGTCGAAAATTTCATGTTATTTTTATCTAGTGAGAGTAAGTTTGTTTCCTTTGGTTTAAGAATGAATTATATGGTTACTTGAATTTCTTCTGTTGTGTTTAGCTATGAAGTTCAAAATTCTGGAGTTTCAAATTTCGGGAACTTGATGCGGCTCTTTAGTTCCTTCTATTGCATTTAAATACTGGTATAAAGGAGTTATCTTTGATTTGTAAAGTTATTGTGCCATATGCGAACCAATAATAGGAGACAGCAGACTTACTCTGATTTAGAAATCATGAATTTTCCCATTAATATGCCACATTTTGTGGGTTTCATAATTATAGATTTGTAACACCTCTTTAGATTCATCGTTCCTCCCTAAAAACCTTAACTTTTCAGCTATCCTCCTTCGATGGCTCCCTGGTTCTTGCAAAATAAGCGGCTAACGGCTAAGTGAACTGTATTTCTACACTCTCAGAAATGTACTGTATATCTACACTCTATGGTGCATGCTTACCCCAAAATTTGGGATCTCTTTTTCATCTGTTATATATATGCGGTACATGCCTATGATATTTCAAACGTATAGATATCCACCTTCAAGATTCATGTTTCTTTAGATACTTTTACTGTAAGAATGAAATCACATAAAATTATCTCCTTGTAATTTTCTGTTCCAGGAAGCCAGAGTCACCAAAATCACAACCAAGACCTATATATGAAGTGAAAGACGGTACTCCAACAAGGAAAAAGAATTGCAATTGTAAACATTCGAGATGCCTGAAGCTGTACGTTCTATGCCTTCGTTTACAGTGTTTACATGGATTTTACGCCAAAATGAAGTTTTGATTCACTGCTTACTGTTTGTTCATGTTTTTTCATGTGCATGGAGGGCATAATATATGTATTTCAGTAGTTCTTTATAATTTAAAGGTACAATATCTTGTATGTGATATCTTTCTAAACATAAACATCATTTATAGACTGGAAGAGCACAGCGAATCTCACCCATTTTTGTGACATATTTTAATGCCCGTAAGAATTGTTAATTAGATTTTATGTTGCATAGTGAAAGTAGTGGCAGTGATATGCAGATGGTATTAATGATTCTGCAAGTCTGCAAGAAGTGGGCTATATCCGTTTTAGTACATCTTATAGTGAAGAATACACAATGTCATAGACATTAGACCTAGTTTCAGATGCAGTCCTGGTCTTATTTGATTCTGCAAAGTTCTCTAATTCTAAGACCTTCATCTTCATATGCATGTCAGGACTCAGGCCTATAACTTATTTTGAAGAAAACAAGTGTAGATTTTTATAAGAAAATATTAACTAAAGCCTATATCTTCATTCTTATATAATTGCCAGTTTTTAGAAGCGAAAGGTGAGGTCAAGGTGATAAAGTACTATGTTGCCCGTGGCGAGAGGCCCCAAAAAAGGCGATTGCCTCAGTGAACCGGTGCGATGATCTTCAAGAAATTCATAAACATTACACATAATATACAAATAATATGCAATTAAACACCATACCAATGGGACAAATCTTTTACAATTGAATTTTGAAGTCACAACTTATGGTACCTGACAAGACATAGGCCATCTACATAGCAGTAGGCAACAGATAGTAAATAATAATAATAACTAGCAACTACTAACATGCATAATTAAACAACAAAGTTTGAGCTTTCAAGGGTCAAATTCTGGAATGCACTTGAGATCATGCGCGTGCGCCACGTGCCCGCGCACACTAAGGTTAACTACAACAAGAATAGCAAAAGATCAACCAAGCGAAAAGGATGGGGAAAAAACAAACTGTACTTTATCAGAAGACAAATCTCACACCCTCAAAAAATTTAAATAGAGACTCCTTTCATTCCTTCCCGCATGCCTTAGGTAAGCGCATGAGACGCCTCTGTGAGCTCTTGAGGCGCCGAAAGGCTCTCACCTTAGTAACCTTCATCTCTTTGCGATATGAAAGGCGTTAAGGTAAGATATCACCTCACATGAGCACCTGAGACGCTAGGGTCATTTGCTTTTAAAACATTGATAATTGCATAAGAGAGAACGGAATTGTGCGAAAGAGGGTGGTGGAGAAAGCTGGAGGCCTTTGCCTTATCTCATTGAAGCTCAAAGTCAATAACAAAGGAACTTATCTTGTTTTCAAAGGAGACCAAGGAGAAGGAGTAGTGTGAGAACGGGTAGAAGTATGCTGCAGGTGTTAATGAAAATATTCCAAGAGATCAAGGATGATAGTGAGCGGCAGAAATAAAAGGGGTTGTTTACATTTACTAGTGAATTTCGTGACAACCACTCTTACATTGGATCCTACTATTTTGAACAAGAGATCAAGGTTGCTCATCAATTGCATGAGCTTCCTCTTAGGCTGTGTGACCAATAAAATACTCGAGCAGATTTTCTTATCTTCTGACTGATCTTCTTAGAATTTATGGCAATCTCCTCTCGTTCATAGTTTCCATGCAGAGTCTTGCAAACTTAGAGGGTAAATAATAATAAAATATTTAAGATACTCAAACAGCGATAATTTTCAAGATTCATATTGATGCTCCCTTCTTGTATAACAATTATCTTAAATTATATAATTCAGTGTTATGTTTATTTATGACAGGTGCTAGTGCAATTATGTTTCATGATTTATAAGGAAATTACGCCTACTGCTTTGGATACCTAATTTTTTATTTGCTAATGGAAGGTTCTAAATGACAGAAGATTAGATTATGGAAGGTTGTGTTTAATAGATTGTTCTGGATTGTTGGAGATAGAAGGGATGCTTATTATTCATTAATGTCATAGGTTTCTTAGATGTTTTCACAGACTGACGTCTATTTATGACATACAAGAATATATGTTGAACTATCGTTATTCCAACATTATGTACGTCGTGTGTCACATGTAAATGGAACCATGATGTTCCTTGCTCTTAGTAAACATTTCATGACACCCTTTGAGTTGTGGCAAGCATGGTTCTATGGAAGAGCTCAATTGGAAATGAAACTTCATATTTACCTACAATTGATGAATTTATCTTCTTAAATTCCTATTTCTCGGTCCAAATTAATTACATTAGTCCTTCTCAATAAATGTCATTCTCTTCTGAGGATGATAGAGCATATGCTGTAGCTGTCAATTGTCATTCTGGGAAGGAAATAATGCAAATGATCTCTTAGCTATTAAATTCTACATGTAGAGATAGGTACAAAAGACTCAACTGTTAGACCCTCATATATGCAATAACTTGCAAGGAAACATGCTTTACTTAATTATTTTCTATTTTTAGTCTCTATATTTTCTGAAGATTAGAATCTTACCTGTGATACTGTACATAGCTCAACTAAATATTTAGGAAACAGTAATCACATATTTCACACTGTAGGCGTCAAAAAATGCTAATAGATATCCCAAACATAGAGAAGATCACTCAGGGATCTCATATTGAAAATCAAAGCAGGAATGAACTGTCTCGCCAGCGAGACA